AATTAAGATCTCTCCTTAGGTAACAAGCAAAACAAAAAAGCGTTTGCCAAAGTTGTTTCCTGCTTCTGACAGGGATCAGGAAGAACTGGGAGACAGAAAATCATGAGCCTTTCAAAGCAGGGTGATGCTTAAAAAGAAAAGCCAAACATTTTTGCTTTGCATGCTAATTCATAACAGTGCTACTCTCACTCCATATGGCACTCAAAAACCTAAGGTAGTTGCAGTGTGGGGTGGGTAACCTGTGGCCTCCTGATGTTGTTGGGATTGCTGGCTCCAGTTCAGTAGGGTGGTAGAGCTACCCTGGGCCTTATCCTGAACTTTTAAAGAACTATCCTCCAAATAGATTCAATATTATGGATAGATCCTTTAAAGCTCAGCCTGGAAACTGGAGTGCATACACTACTCCACTGACACTGGAGTCACCAGCCACTGCCAGCAGCAAGTTGTCAGCTGCTGTCTTTGGCTACACTGGCTGGTGCTGGTGGGAATTGGAGCACAGCTACATTGGAAAGGCCAGCTTTGATGTAAGGGACTAACATGAATAGATGATAATTGAATTGCTTGTGACAATTGTCAGTGTACGAAACCAGTGAGTCAGACAGAGATATATGCTGGCCGGTTTGTGTGTTCAACCAATGAGACTGTAGTGCAGAGCAGAGCACTAGCTTTGCATATGGAAGGTCTCAGCTGGGGTCCCTAGTGTCTCCAGTTCAGAGGTACCAAGTGACATGAAAGGCCCATGCCCGAGATCCCACAGCAGTTGCAGATCAGAGTCTGCAATCCTAAACGATGCACACAAATATTCTGATTTGGCATAACACAGATTTCTGTGTTGCTGCAAATTGATGACACCCAGAAGAGCACATGCCACAAATGGCACCCTCGTGTTTTCTTCCTTCTGTCCTGATTGATAAACAGCTTTCTTTAAAAGCCTGAGAACCCCCTGCCCATGAGAACCCCCGTCCTATTCTTTCTGGAGCAGTCTTACTGAGCACCGAGTCAAAACAACATGTACACAAATGGTGATATGAGCAAATGTGCCTACACATGCACAAAGCACACATACTCACAGCATGCAACCAGCACCTTGGCAAGGATGAATACAACAAGTTTTATTTTACAGGGTTCACAACCATGCTGACAGTGACAGGCATGGCTGTCTTCGTTTTGAGTCTCGCATTTTATGCACAAGAGTTACTTCTGGACCCCCCCCCCCCAAAAAAAAAAAAAAAAGGAAAGTAAGAATGAAAAAAAGACTTCTGGGTTAGGTTTCTTCTCCCTCCCTCTCTCCCTTTCCCTCCTCCCTCTCTCCCTCCCTCTGTGTGTGTGAGTGTGTGTGTGTGTTGGTTTTCTACAGCAATAAATCAGATAAGATCTTCTATGCTGTATTTCAAGTTCCTGTCCCTAAGATGGTTTCTCTTTCCCCTCTTGATACAGAACGCATGACAAAAGCTGTGCTCCTTCCAGCATCCTGGAGACATTGGCAAACCTTTTAAATTGTGGCAAAGATAATGAATTTTTCTCTCTGTTTTCAATACTTATTTTCCTTATGTTTTTTAAAAAATATAAATAGTTGCAGGGGACTCAAGTGCCCTGCACAGTCCCCCTCGAGACAGAGCATGTGCGCCACCTCCAGATGGGAGCTGCTTTGCACGTGTCCCAAGGGGAGGAAATAGCCCTCTGAAGTAACATGGGCTCAGGAGGCTGATTTACACACACACACACACACACACACACACACACACACACACACACACACACGCTTTTTCAGCCTTCCTGAACATGGTGCCACCTTCTTGTGTCCTACAGCTCCCATCATTTCTAGCCAGATTTCAGCTCCCGTCATTCCCAGTCCTCAGGCTGGGAATAGTGGCAGTTGTACTCCAATATATTAGGTGGGCACCAGGTTGGGGAAGGCAACTTGCATCTTTACAATGCATGTGAAGAAATGGGGAGAACAATGGCTGAAGAAGCAAACCATGATATTGGATGGGAGGTCAAGAAATTCTAAGACTGCCGTTGCTGAGAGGCCAGACAGAGAAGGTTCCAGGCCCTCTGGTGCCTGCCTCGTCCTACGTGTGTCTGCTCTGAAGGAAAATATTCTTCCATATAGCCCAAATTGCCTGATCCTGCCTAATCTTGGAAGCTAAACAGGATTGGGCTGGGTAGAAAGCTGGATGGGAGACTTGAGTCCTGCAAAGGGCAGGCAGTTGGACCCAATGGCCTGCTAGCCCCCTTCCAACTGTATGATTCGATGATTCTATGAAACCACAGTGAGCCTGCGGCCCTTAGATCTAGGAAAGTGAAGGACAAACTCACAGTGTTCATTCCCAATTTTAGAAGGCAATGGGAGAAGGGGATAAGACTGGGCTAAAATTGTGGCAGGAGGAGGGATAGTTGGAGGTGGAACTTGCAAACTCCATTAAAGGCTCTTCTAACTGCCCTGCACGTCAGCAATTCAAGCACTGTCCTAAAAAGAAAGAATTAATGGGGCTTCTTGAGTTTCCCAGATCAAATTACTCAGAACAAACAGGTCTAGACCCAATGGAATGGAGCTGAGACTTCCCCAGGGATGGTTGGGAGGCTGAGCTGGGACAACTCATCATAACAACAGCTATCCATGGCTATTAGTTATGACAGGTAAAAACTCTTAACCTCTGGGTTGGATCCAGATTTAGTCATACTAAGAGCAGCGCCATCTAAATCAACTCGATTTAAACTAATCAGGATTAATTTCAATCCCATTGATTTTGATGTGCTCTAACTATGACTTGATGCAGAGCCTACGCCCCATGTAGCAGAGCTGTTTCCACAAGGGTGTGGAACCTTTCCAGTCCAAGAGGCAGAATTCCTTTTCAGAGAAGCTCTCGGGTGCTGCATTCCAATAGTGGGAGGGGCAGAAGGCAAAAAGCTGATGGTAGAAATATGAAAAGAAAAAAGAAAGAAAAATCCAGGGGATGCCAGTTTCAAAATCTTCCTTTCAGGTACTAAGCCTTAGGTGAGGCCTTAAAGGATAGAGAAAATACTAGACAAAGGCCCGGAAATCACCAGATGTTCAGTGATCAGTGGCAATGAGGTGAGGGTAGGGAAGGGGATATGACCATCTGGGAGACTTGTGGGGGGTTGAGGTTGTGCACCCCTGTCTTGGATGCTGCTAACACTCCCCGTGCCCTGCGTATGGACTTCCCAAGGGCACTTGGGTTACTGCCTTTGGAACCCAGGGGCAATGCAAATAACCATTGACCAAAGAAGAAACTTTCCACAAGGTGCATATATGAACCTCTTTCCACTCCCTGGGGTTAATTTTCCAGTCCTCCAGAACAACTAAGGGAGTGAAAGTGTGGATAAGCGTCCCTCAGTTGTGCAAGCAGCCAGCGTACAATGTGATTCATTCACTCTGTGGTTACGGTACCACTCGGTAATGATCAGCTGTATACGCCCAATGTGGATTCAGGCCCAGCATCAGGAATAGGTATTGTTGGGCATCTGCCAAGGTGGACAACCCTGTAGGGGGACTTCTGTCAATGCACAAAGCCTCCTGGTCCTGCTGCCCCCAGTCCTTGCTGTTACTACTTGCTTGGTTGCCTTCTCTCAGCATGGAGGAAGGCACCAGAGTGAGATGCTCAGAGCAACTTTCCTTAATGGCGGGTAATAACTCCCTTGTCATTGGGGCTCCTCATCTACTGCAGCTTTCATTTTGAGTTTTATAAGTGCCATCTATGGTGGCAAACCCATTTTGGGGATGGATTTCAGTAGCATGGATTGCTCCTGTAATATTTAAAATAAAGGCTGCAATGGATGAGAAACCCTACTGATGCTATGCGACATCAGGTTCCTCTGTGATTCCTTCCTTTGCTTTGCACTCTGCATCTAGAAGACTGCACAAATTTGGTCCACAGGGAGAAAAGACAAGTGGGTGGACAGGAGGACAGGCATGGTGGAGGCCCATTAGAGATAGCCTGCTCAAGGATCCTGCAAGACCTGGAGCTTTGGGTAGTTGGATTAACAGGTCTTCGGTCTACTTCATTCACCAGAGCAAGTCTTCTGTTCTTATGAAGCTGGCTTGCCAGTTCTCTGTGCTGGGCTCGAACCTGCCTGCTTCAGCTCATGACTCCAGCTATTTCTCACCTGATCCCTCTCTCATCTTAAAAAAAATGGGGCTGTTGGAGGAGAAGAGATGCCAGCACGCTGGTGAATTACTGGAAATGGACCAGGAAAGGGACAGAACTAAAAGAAGCACAGAGCCCTAGTTTTTAGCTCCTCCATACATCTATGGATGCCACTTTGCCTGATCGGGCATTCTCATTCATTTTAGCCTGCACTCTGTATTTTCCATTTTGCCTTTACTGAAAGGAATTAACAGATGCAAAGGAGCAATGACTGTTTTATGCCCCCTTGGATAGCTGGCAATCCTCCTGTCCACCCCTTCCCATTAAAATGACTTGATCCATTCCCCCCACACCCCACAATGGTCCTGCCCTTGAACACCACAATGTGTGCTACAGCCCTTGAAAGGATGGGGGAGCACAGAGAGAGAGAGAGAGAGAGAGAGAGAGAGAGAGAGAGAGAGAGAGACTTGTCCACCCTACAGATTAAATAATTACATTGCTTGTAGATAAAATTAGGATGCCCCCCCAACAAAAATGTAACAATCTTCTTTATTATTTAACTTAACCCTCACCCTATTGTAGCCCTCCCTCTCTTGCCCCTCTCTCAAGGCACAAAGATATTTGGATTCAGACAGTTAGTAAAAAATAAAATGAAATACTGGAATCGTATTTGCTTTTCCTTTGCTGTTTTGCAAAAGTCTCTTTTCTCTCCCCCCACTTTTTTTACATATACACAAGATGGATTTTTTTCTTTAATATATTTTCCTTATATCAACAACAAAAGCAACAAGAAGAAATCAATTCTGTTAATAAAACTGTTTCATAAAATATTTTTGTTTCTCTCTCCCCCTGTCTCTCTCTCTGTCTGTCTTATCTTTCACTTGCCGCTTTCTAATGGGTGGTTCTCTGTGCCAGTCCTCCATTGGTCCTTGATCGAGTCCGTGGGCTTCGCTTGTGCAGTCTGTGTTTGTAGGTGGAGGCTGTGGGAGGGAGCGGAAAAGAAAAGACACCTTGTTACTCGGGGAGGGAGGTTACAGAGGCCCTGCTTGTCCTAATCTGGCTTGACCAAACCTCTCACCTTCTCCCTCCCCTTGGAAAAACACGGCAGAGGCTGGGGTATGTTGTTTCTTTGGCTATCCGTGCCGAGCCTGCAGTGGCGCCAGCCTGCTTGCAGCAGCACAATCGTGCCTTCTCTTGCCCCTGGTGCTCTGGGACCCAGCGAAGCAGCTGAGCATTTTTTCACTGCACTTTGTATAAGGTCCTGTCCCTTTCCGTCCCTCTGACAAACACGAGGACTAAAGACACTGGAGGTGGCAGAGCCAGTGCTGCTGCAGTTTGGTGGGTCTTTTTCGATGAGTCTTTCAGTGTGCAAATTGCGATGCCGCATTCATGGAAATTTGGTACAGGGAGGTCCAAACTAGGGTGGCCACTTAACCAAAGGAAGAGGATGAGGAGAGTAAATGCATCACTTCCCACAAAAAGAGGACGTGCACCTTCAAATACTCACCCATGCTAACTAATATGTTTCGATGCAAGTGCAAAACTAAGGGCTATAATTTAATTAGAAAAACAACTTATTCCGCTGTCCCTAGATTCACAGAACATGGCAACTGATAACCAAAGTTAGGTATAGGTTGAGTGTGTGTTGTTCTTGTATTGTGGGTTGTTGTGTTGTGTGAACCCAGCAGCGCTACCAGGTATGGTTTGTTAACCCCAAACAACCCACAGTTCACAAACCAACAAATAACCATGGATTCTCTACATGAGCTATTGATGGTTAACAAGACATGCTTTGTTTGTGTGGCTGAGTTCAGACAACCTAGTAATCCATGTTTCAATAAAAGACCATGCTGTTATTCAACCTGCATGTAAACCTTAAGTGTGAGTTATTCTGTTGTCTGAACCCAGCTGTTGAGTTTTTTTTCCAGGCCTGACCCACTGACCCACAGATTGGCCCCACTGTCACCACCACATTAGGATCTTTCTGTCAGAAAGAACAAAGCTGGTCAGTTTCCTCTACATCAGCCATAACTATATAAGCCCATAGTTCAATGACAACCCACTCAACCCTGAGAATGAGTTGTTGTGCTTTAGGAACCCAGCCTGTGACTGGTGTCCTGTGTGGTGTGACCTTTCAGTCTGTTGTTCAGGTGTCAACTGTTGATGGACAATGTTAAGACCCCCTCCTCTGCTTGTTCCTTTTCTTTAAGCTGCACTTGAACTGATCATTCTTCAAACAGGGGACAGCCCTTCAAGTAGAGGAATGCACAGTGGGATGTCTAGCCACCCTAAGAGAATTAATTTCCATTTGTAATCCTCCTTGTGCTTTCCCCCTCTTTTTAATTATCAGAAGAAAATTATCAGGGGCTGCTAGGCATTACAGCCTCACAAGACTTTGGATAGGTAGTGCAAGGTGTCCCCCCTCTGCTGGTGCCCTGGCAGCGACTGTGATAGCTCATGGATCCCGGCCTGGCAACCGTGGTGCTGCTCCTGGCTCAGTGAGCCACTTAGAACAGACAAGGGCCTCTTCTCCTTGCATGCAATGAATCCAGAAAATGGACTAGGACATTCTTGTGCCAGAGGATGGATGCCCATCCAAATGCACTGCCCCCAGCGCTCGCTCACGCGCTCTCTCTCTCTCTCTCTCTCTCTCTCTCTATATATATATATATATATATATATATATATATAGCTAGACTACTGACAGTTTGCTGCCCTTTAATGGTACCCTAAAATCTGCCCTTGAAAGCAGGCTACTCCATACTGCCTAACAGCAGAACTGGCTCTGATCCGGAGCCCTTCCATGCCAGTTTGACTGGACAGGCCGTCCATGCAGCTAACTTGGGCAGCCAAGTCAAGGGGATGGTTGTCCTGTTGGAAGCAGCACATGAATCTGGTCTCCTGGCTGATGTCCACGCTAATCTGGCGAGGCTCTAGCTGTGTCCTTAGGGATATGGGCAGCCAGCCAGTGTAGGGTGGCATGTGGGTGTCCTTAAAAGGAAGTTGGGGATTATATCAGCAGAGCCAGCTGGAGCTGGGTGTCAGTCTAGATCAGTGTTTTTCAATTGCTGGTCTGCAGACTGGCACCGGTCCGCCAGCATTTCCTGGCAGTCCGAGAAAGAGCCGCAGCAGTGTGCGCACAGGAGAGTGGCTTCTCACTGGCCAGGACCAGCGTGGGGTCGCTGTGGTTGCGCTGCTGATTCCCCACCTAGTCCTTGGCTGAGGAGGCTGGGAAGGGCAGGGGCTGCTCAATGGGAGCCAGCGCCATGCCTGGTTGGAGACCCAAAGGCCGGGCCTTTCCCTTTCTCTGCTGGGTTTTCTCCTGGGAAGGGAAATGCAGAAGCGGGATTGTGCTGAGAGTGTTTTTCCAGCTAGTCTGTGCTGGTGTGTATGGGGCTTGTGGGGGGTTCATTCTATTTCATTATTTAACATTATGAATATTATTTTATTAAGTAACTCTGATTTTGGATTGCTCTGCTGTTGATATTATATTTGAATTTGTATTTGCTACGAATATAGTATGGCATTTATATTGATTTTGTATTTTGCTATTGTAAATTTTTAATCAAGTTTTCTTGAAAAGACACATCAGTAGATTTCATAGTAGCCTTATTTGAATTACATTTTGGGCTCTCAGAGTTTCAGTTGTATTCAATTACATTTAATTTCAATATTTTATTCTTTTATTAGCATTTTTACTGCTCAGTTTCTGGTTATTTTAGAAAACTTTCATATTTTGGTACTCTATTTAAAAACGAATACACAAAATACTCTGTTATGTATATATTTCTGCCTCAGCAGTCCCCAAAATAATTTTCCTAGTTTTGCTGGTCCCCAACTGTAAAAAGGTTGAAAACCATTGGTCTAGATGGTCTCAGGGACCCCTTCTGACTCGCTTTGTTTCTATGTTTCTAAGTTAGACTCTAGGACACGTGTGAACTGGTTGCCCCCCAATTCCCATCTTCCCTAGCTTGTCTGGGCAATGGTGAGGGATGAAGGGAGTAATCATTTGTCAACACCTGGAAGGCCACAGGCTCCTCAGAGCTGTTCTTGTCTGAGCATGTCTAATAAAAGAACATAACTTCCTAAAGAGGAGACCTCATTAAGGATTAGTTCTGTCTTTCCTCCCCCCCCCCACCCCACAAATGTATATACAATTAGGAGCCATCTGTGTTCAGAGAAAACCAACCCAAAAGTTATCTTTAAGTCTTATATTGGCCTCTTGGGGTGGGGTATGTTGGATGTTTCTCTTGCTCTGTAAGTCTCCTCCCTGCCCTCTTTTCCTTCACAGTCATAAGGAATCAAAGATTTACAGAGGTTTGCTGAGCGTGCAGCAGGTTGGCCAAGAAAGACTTGCCAGCTGTTGGCATCACATGCAAATGAAAAGTTCCAGCACTGAATTTCCAGCTGACCCCTGCAGTCCAGCCCCACCTGGGAGAGGTTCAGGCCAGTCATCCTTGTAATGTAAGAACACTTCCAAACCCCTGCAGACTTAAACTGGCCTCTCACGCACTAAGAATGTGCATGGGCTGATCATTTTTTCTGAGAAAGGGAAAGCTGAAGAAGAAGAGGAGGAGGAGGAGGAGATGGAAGCAGCAGCAGCCACTGCTGCTACCGTTGCTGCCACCACCACGTGAGAGCACATGACATTCACATGACCAACTGAATGAATTGCAAGGTGCTTTTAGTCACCATTCCAAAAAGAAGCTTAGATGGGGGGGGGGACTGTATATTGCATAGAGTTCTCTTCTTCTAGTAGCAGGGATTGCCATAGGAGAAGCAGAACCTGCCTTACACTAAGTCAGACCAGTGGCCCATCTAGCCCAGTACTGTAGACATGGGCTGGCAGCATTTATCTGGGATTGGCATCTGGATTCTGTCCTAAACCTGATTAGAAGTGCCAGGATTGAATCGGGGACACTTTGCATGCACGCCTTCCGTTTCAGCAGGGAGCTATGGCCCTCCCCTGCCTCCTCCTCCTCAAAGCACTGCAAAGCATTCTGGTTCTGAAGAAGATTAAAATTTAGGATAAAGAACCTTAAGAAGGTGGCGGGGGAGGAACCTTGTTGCTTATTCACAACTTGTATCTGCAGAGGCCACAGTCATCCTCATTCTGATGGGTTGCATTTCTAATTGAAATTAAATTAATAAATGCTTTCTAAATTCGCAACTGTACCTATATGCTAATGCATGCAAATGCTATGCAAATCTCTCCTCTGCTTGGATGATCCATTTGTTCTTCAGGCAATGTGTAAGCAGACATCCTACCTTCCTCTGACTCTGTTTACTTGGCTTGGTTATTCTGCCTAAAACTTAATGGAGTTCTATGCATCCTTACCCATCTTCCATTCAAAGGCAGAGCATACCATGGAAGAACAGTGGGAATAAAATGAAGCACGATTAATGAGATGTTCATCATAGTACTCCTACAATCATAGGGTCCATGTTTTCACACAATACACATGCACTCCAATAGTGGCTCAAGGGCTGCACAGGGTTTAGGCACCCATTCCGTTGATCACCGCAGGCAACTGCAGAGGGAGCCTCAGCCCATTACATTGGCTCAAATGCTGCAGATGCTTGTCTAGTTGTGCCACGATTGGTCTGTGGCCAGATTGATTTGGAAATTTTTGCAGCACCAAAAGCCTGCAAAGTACAGTTAATCATGGCATTCAGCAGGAAGGCGTGTGGGTAGCAATGTCTCTGCCTTAAATAAGAGGGTTGGTGGGAACCTGGTACTCCACTAAATCCATGCCTCTGCAGGAAATCCAGTCACACCAATGCCCAGCAGATGGCTCTGCAGCCTCAGGTTGCAGATTTCGATCAAGGAACCCCCCCCACCATTCCAGCCATTAGCTTGATCGTTGAGCCATCATTCTTAAGAGGGTCCTAATATTTATCAACTGTCTACTCTCTTGTAACTAAAGCCCAGTCATTCCAGCTCTGCTCTCTGGGGCAGCAAGGAAGACATTTTTGTTCTTTTTGCTATGATGGCCAATCCAGTCCTGGAAGACGGATGTGATGGCCCCCAATGCCCGTTCTCTGTTCTCCAGGCTAAACATGCGCAGGTCCTTCAACCTCTCCTCACAGGACCTGTTTTCCATCTTCATTATCCTCCTCTGAACCCTTTCTAATTTACATCCTCCTTAAAATGCCCAGAACTAGTCGCACTATTCCAGATGTGCTCTGACTAGTGTGAAATAAAATGGAACTATTACTCCTTGTTACTTGGAAACTATAGTTCCACTAAAGTCAGGTAAGCCTTGCTGCCTGCCTGCCTGCATTGCACCGATGACTCATGCTTTTATCGCAATTAATTCTTTGACTCACAGGTCAAGAAAACATTTAACCCCATGCACTGAATGAGAGCACTGGTTGTGTGTTGTGGCTCTCAGGGCACTTGAACCCCCTGCCTCCGTGGGCTTTGCAGACTCAGGCACCTTGCACAGGAAGACAAGAAGAGACGTGGTCTGCCTCCCAATGGTGGAGTTCACTGGTCAAGAGGCAGACCAGAGCCTTGGCTATCTCGAAGGGCCCTGGAGGCAATAGTGCAATAACGGAGACCATTACATACGATCTATACAGGCTATCCGTGGCTCCTCCCAGTGCCCATTGGGTTGACAACGGATGGTGGGCACATGGCGCTGTATATATCCCTGGTTGCATTGGTACCGCACCATGGCATTGATCTCGTAGCGTTCTTTCTTCTTGCCAAAGTGCTTGGCATTCTCCACCATGGGCGGCTCTCCGCAGGCCACTAGGGGAGGAAAAAGAATCCTTTAAGTTGCTTTCTGGTCCAAGAGATTCTTGGCCAAGATACTGCTCGCCTCTCAGTCCAGGCCAATGCCATTTCAGTTTGAAAGTCAACCTTCATTTTGAAGAAACCCTTCTTCTAGTGGCAGTTGTGGTCCAAGGCCAAAATACGATCATATTTGAGCTTAAAGCACTCACTGCCCATAACTAGTGTTGGCCACAGGCTTTTGAATGGCCTCAGGCAAGACACCTTCAATGGGTCCCCTCCCTTTGTAAATGCCCTCTTACTGCCATGGTCACCAGCTGTTCTTGCTCCTCATCCTTTTTCTCGTCATGATTACCATTTGGTTGGTTGGTAGGCAAGAAAGCTGGGAACAAATAGGCAGTCGCATCTACCGTTCCTCCTTCTTGCCACCATTGTCTGACTGGGTCAGAGGCAGAGGGAGGGGCCAGTTGCTACATTGAATAGCAGGTGTAACTTTGGGAGGTTCTGTGAGTGAGCCCTTGCTGGGCTGTGGTCCCTAAGCAAGTGCTCAACCCTGTCTACCTTTGATGTTGTGTTTGCACAGAGAACACATGGCCACCACTAGACTTTGACCTGGTCTTGCACATGCCCCTTTCATCTGTCTTCTCAACGTTATCCCACCCCCTGCAGGAAAACAGCTACTGCATTGGAGCAGAGCCTGGAAAATGCTGACCATGATGCTTAAGGCTAACATCTTAGCAGCAGCCATATGTTCCCCCACCACTTTTAGAGGAGTCTCATGTCTGTCACTGTCATTATCATTCCAATTATTTCCAGAATTCAGAGATGACTGTGGAATAAACCGTGGCCAAAAGAACACCACTGATACAAAGAAAGAGAAAGGAACCCCAAGGTTTGCAGAAATGCCGCATTCTTTAAGGGGAAAAATGCCCTAAGGGAGCCCACCCGCAAAAGCCCATTGCTTGATGATCATGGAGTGCCAGCTGATAGTTGGAGGCGAGGAATGTATAACTAGTGAGGAGATGGAATGGAGTATCCTGGAAAAGGACATGGCTGGGTGACTGGAAACTTGATGTGGAACACTCCATGTTGCAACATTTTATTGCAAGTCCCACATATATTCCTCAAGTTGCTTTTAACATGTATACAGGAAAAACAAGAAGGAAGGAAGGAAGGAAGGAAGGAAGGAAGGAAGGAAGGAAGGAAGGAAGGAAAGCCAACCGACCAACCCATATTGTTGAATTGTTAGATAAGATAGGCAAGAATTCCCAAACTGTGGGCCAAGATGTTATTGTATAACAGAATTTCTTACATGCCGCTATAGACTAACGAAACTCTGGTGCAATTGTAATGCTCCATCTCACCTGGTAAGTTGGAATTATCTGTACTCTGATGATGCTTCTATTGTGTCTGCTCCACTCCTCCTTACAATCTAGAGTCATGCCCAGCACAGTAACTCACACATTAACACAGGAAGATGTGCTCCTCTGAGTACATTTGGTCCTTTTGAGGTGCATGAGTGAATGTCTCTCATGCCGATTCATCGAAACACTACTCAACTCAACAAAAAACAAGCCTGCTGCAGTTGTTTTGGGTTAGGCAGCGGGGTTAAACATGGGGATTCTGGAGAACTTGCATATAGGAGAAGCAGGATGCATACTTAAAAGCTGCTGCTATTATTCTCGCAGTTTCTGGGCTGGGGAGCCAACACTCTGCAGTGGTCCTTGCCTTGTGTGTTGGTTCACATGGGAAGGAGAATTCCAAACTCGAGCCTTTGTCTGCTGTTGGCTCCTTGAGACCATCTGACGCCAATGTTGCTAAGAGCCTCCTGTTGCCTGGCCCATCATGCAGGCTCCACAGCTGCTCAGGGTCATTTATTTTGTGAAGTACGGCAGTCAAGATGGGAGCTATAAAGCACCAGCCAACCCATTCCCTACTTTGGAGATTCAAGTTCAGTCACTGCTGCCTTTGAAATCCATCCATGCTGATTACTGAATTTGGAGAGCAGACCAGAGAAGAAGCAAGAAGAGATGCTCTCCTCTCTTTGCTTTCTCTCCCCAAAAACCAGGACCATGGCAAGAAAGAGCCAACACCTATTAGCACAATTCTGGGGCTTGGGAAGGTAGGCCAGAATTCATCTTCCCATTTTGCCACTGCAGAGAAGGAGCAAGGTTTGCTTGAGACTATCAAGTGAGTTTGTGGTACTGGCAAGATTGAGGCTGGGACTATAAAACTCATTTTATTGAGCCTAGCTGCTCAAATTGCCTAATAGGAAAAGCCCCTGGCTGCTGATCCAGATCTCGCAAGTTCAAATCCTAGCAACTGTTTTTCAGGCACAGACTCTCAGCCCAACCTACCTCACAGGGTTGTTGTTGTGAGGATAGGATTGAGAGGAGTAGGAGGAGAATTATGCAAGCCACCTTGAGTTCCTCGAAAGGGAAAAGGTGGGATATAAATATAATAAATAAACCACTTCTTTGGCAATAGTAATTGCCTACCACTTTCTGTTGTCAAACTGCTCTTACTGTCAAGGTGTGTCGTCTAAGTTTCAATGCCAAACTATTGCAGTCGCACTGAAGCCCATTAAGTCCAGTTTTTGTGTCTGGGTAGCAGAGAAGACAACAAGAGTTTAGCCTCCACCATGTGATCTTCTGCATACTTCCTTGATCTGGTGAGCGTGCTTTTGTGACTCAATGTCTGGCTTTTTTGCAGTGCACTGCTGGATCTCTCAAGTCAGATTGTTATTTCTTTATTTCTTTATTTATTATTGCATCTGTAACCTGCCCTGGTTTCCTTTTGCAAACAGCTCAAGGCAGCTTACATGCACCCTCTCCTCTCCACTTTGTCCTCACAAGAACCCTGTGTGGTAGGTTAGACTGAGCATCACTGACTGGCTCAGAGGTAGGCAATAGGCTTCCTAGTGGAGCACAGACTTGAACTCAGATCTCCAGAGACCCAGGCCAAGCTTTCAAGCACCATCCTATACAGGCTCACTGGAGCAAAGGGTCGTCGTATGACCTTGTGTGTCCCGCAGACCTATCAGTGCAATAAACCAGCCTCACCTGTCCCTTTTTTGCAGGTGAACGGGAGGTGATAGTTGCAGGGCACGTCATTCCACTCTCCTTTCTCATGCCAGATCATGACCACACAGTCTTCTCCTTTGGCAAAGAAGTTATCAGGCTGGTTGGGCCTCCAGTTCTCATATTGCTGTGGAAGGAGAGGAAGGAGATGGAGGGGCAGGCAAAGAAAAGAACTTCCTCACAGAAGCACATCTGTCCATTCTTTCTTAATTTCTGCCCCCCCCATCTGCCAAAAATGGTGGTCAAGACAGCTAACAGTAAGAAAAGGTAGATCACTCTCACAATTAAATAAATCATAACACAAAAACTGACACAGCTAAAAACTGAACTTGTAAAGAAATAGGCAGCAGCAGAAGTCTTGGTTTGCATGCCCAAAGCCTGCCTGCATGAAAACGTATCCGTCCATCAGCAGAAGGACAACCAAAAGGCCTAAGCTTAGTGCCCCTCTGTAGGGAAGCTTTAGATCCTGGGAACAGCTCCTGAGAAAGTCTCTTGCATCCCCACCAGGCACACACCCAATGGTGGTAGGAGGAAAGAGCCTGCCCTGGAGATCTCAAAATCCTGGCAGCTTCAAAAGGGAGAATGCAGCATTTCAGGTAGACTGGACCCAAGCCTAAATGAGATTAAATGGTACGCAACCAGAAAACATATATTTATATGTGTTTTTATATATAAGTATTGTATATATAAATATTAGGTATTTGTATATAAATATTTTAAACATGTACACGGGTGGTTTTAGGTTTCTAGCTTCAGTTTTCTATACCTGATCTAGATTCTCATCAAGTGAGGACAAAACTCATGCTAAAGCGACTGTTTTCAGGACAGCCGTTTTACTGAAAAGCCATGGCTCTCCAGATGGTAACTCACAAGGGGCTGCCCATCCGACCAGCGGAAGTCGTCTTCAACAGCTCTGTCACTAAGGCCAATCCACTGATAATCTTGTGCATTGTCTAGGATGGAGAGAGTGAGAATAAAAGAGATAGCAAAGATTAAAAGGAGGCTGGCCTGCTGTCATATTTCCTGCGGGGGAGGAATCATTTTCTAAACCAGTAGTGCTGCTTGCCATTTCCCCAGCCTGGCACCCTCTGGATCTCATGAACTGCAGCTCCCAACATTCTTAGCCAGCCATGCTTTTTAGACAGATATTTGCTGCACTTTGAGGCTTTTTAAAAGCATGTGTCTCTAAAAGAATTCATACAGCACTTCAAATTACGTCTGGACTCTGGCCAACCTCCACGTTAATTTAAACCCATAATCATATTTAATAGTTCCACTTCTGCTTGGTCTTCTTAAAACAGCACCTATAAGGGAAACTATTCAGATTCTTGTTAGCCTGTTTGATAATCTTACGTTGGTCAAAACAGCCTCATTCTATATTGTCAGAAAAAATGAAGTGAAACGAAACAAAACAAAACAAGTGTTCGTCAGGTGCATAGATTCTGAATTGTTCTATAGCTTTTCCATGGATCACATGAAAGGTGCTTGCAGACCAACACTGGTCCACAAAGCACAACTTTGTGCCCTTGTTGGCCTTCCTGTCCTCACTTTTCAGTATGTCTGTGTGAGGGTCACTACTGAATTTCCACCTAAAGTGAAATTTGAGATAAATTTGTAGGTTATGGCTTGGAGAAGAGCCTAATGCTGGGAATGATTGATGGCAAAAGAAGAAGGGGACGGCAGAGGATGAGGTGGCTGGATGGAGTCACTGAAGCAGTTGGTGTGAGCTTGAGTGGACTCGGGGGGATGGTGGAGGACAGGAAGGCCTGCAGGAACGTTGTCCATGAGGTCACAATGGATCGGACATGACTTCGTGAGTAACAACAACAATGGCTTGGACAATACATCTGTTTGAAAACTCAAGCCTGGTAAATTTTATTATATATTATTTATTATCCTGCCTTTTCTCTCTTGTGAAGAGCCCAAAGTGGCTAGCATAACAGTGGCTACTGTTATAGCATAGAAATGTTTTAATAAATAAATAGCTGCCCTGTGCAGTATGTAAGGCTGAGAGAGTCTGCTCACCGGTCCAAAGTCACCCAGTGAACTTGATGACCAAGCGGGCACTAGAACCTACTTCTCCCAGGTTCGGTTTGATTCGGTTTGCCTCCCCTCCCCTCTGGCTGATTTAAGCCATTTTCCGTTTCTAAGCACCTGAAGACATTTCAAGTCATCACACTCACTGTTCACAAATTCCTGCTCTTCAGGCGTGGTGATACTGCTTAGATGGGACTGATGTTCTCGACACAGGTTCTCTGCATCCACCCATGTGTGTTTCTCTTCAAAATGCTTATAACAGTTGCCTTGGAACTTGGTCCAGCCTGCTTCACATTCAGCCAGATCTGGAAGAGATTGGAAGGGTTTATAATAAGCATGAATGGAAGGCTTAAGCATTCCAAAGCCCCTCACTTGATCAGACGGATGCACAGTTGCTTTCCTGAACAGAAAAAGCTATGGACTCCTCTTCCCTGGAAGCTTCTAGTGGCAGCCAGCACACTGCCCAAGTCCACTGATGCTATCTCAGTGTGCCACAAGAGGAAGAAAAGTGGCAGCTCCTTTTATGACTTCCAAAATGGAGATGGAAGGACATCTGAGGCATTTGTGTCCTGCTCCTGAAAGTTCTGCATAAGGAAATCTTAAGGGAGGTTTTGGATGCAAATTGTAAGCAGTTAAGGAAATCCCTGTGGAATTCTGTCAGGCCCAAGATAACTAGATAAACAATACTGGGGAATTATTCCACACGGGTTCAATGAAAAGAACTTCTGTAACGTGCTCTACGTGGGGCTACTCTTGAAGACAGTCCGGATACTTCAATTGGTTCAAAATAGAGCTGCCAGGCTGCTGACGGGGACGGGGCATTATGTTCACATGACTCCAGTCCTCCGTCAGCTTCACTGGCTCCCCGTTTAAGTCCGGGCCCAATTCAAGGTGTTGGTGATGACCTATAAAGCCCTAAACGGCTTGGGTCCTGGTTACCTGAAGGAGTGCTTATGTCCATATATGCCCGCCCACCCCTTGAGATCTGTGGGAGAGGCCCTTCTCTGGGAACCCTCCGTGAAGGAAATTAGGAGGGTAGGTACTCGGAGGAGGGCTTTCTCTGCGGTGATGCCCAATCTATGGAATGAGCTCCCCAGAGAGGTCTGCCTGGTGCCGTCGTTATTTGTTTTTTGGTGCCAGGCAAAGACCTTTTTATTCAGACATCATTTTAACTGCTAATACTATTTATTTATTTTATTCTTCGGCCAGGGTGACTTATTTATATTGTTAACTTGTTTTACATTTTTATTGTATAATATTTTAATTAATATATTTGTGAGCTGCCCCGAGGCTTCGGCAAATGGGGCGGCATAGAAATTTTCTAAATAAATGAATGAATAAATAAATAAATAAGTGGGATTACTGGGGGAGATTTATTTTACATGTGTTTGTGCATCAGAGGCAGGCATAATTTTATTGTATTATTGTTGTGTTCGGTCGTGCATTTCATTAATAAAGTTAAGGGAAACACTTTTTTAGGAAGTGTGGAAAAAGGGTGAGAATTATATTAAATATTTAGCATATGTGTATTACGATTTATATATTTTATTTTCCCTTTGTAGTTAAATACATTCATTTGAAACAATCTCTAGCTTTGCTTTAAAAATCTTAAATGTATTGCATGCTTTTATAAACTTAAATAGAGTTATCATTGCATTGCATCTTTCTTTGAATCAAAACACTGGGGCCCCTTTATGAGGAGAGGAAAAATGTTAGGAGCTTTATAAGATCAGGGAAGAAAGAGATGACCAACAAAGGGACATAATTATAAAATTATAACTGGTATATAAAGAAAAGAGAGTTTCCCCCTTTTCTCTCCTTAAAGTCTTCAAAAAAAGAATTCTAGAAATTGGGAACACTCTAGCTCTACCTGGAGAGGGCTTAAGTGTGCAGGGAGCATACGCAAACTTTGTCTCCAATATCTTCTTCCTCTCTACCTTGGCAGCTTGAGCAGAAGATTTGGAAAATCTACATCTATTTGTTTGTACCTGAATAGAAACATCTGTGAATTTGGGACCTGAATGCATGGCAGATTCTACTCATCTTCAGTCAAATGCAAGTATTAGTACCCTTAACACCTTCCAGGTCAACACAGGAACATTGTGGCTAGAAGGGGCAGGAGCAGGAGCGGGGGCGGGGGTGGGGGCGGGGGCAGGGGCAGATATACAATTAGTGCCAGGGGCTCAGTGCTCCCTACAGACCTGCACAGTGTGCTAATGAATCCGATTAGCAGCAGGTGCAGAAGAAGTATTTTATGCAAAAAGGATTTTTTTTCATAGCAAAATTTACCTTACAGAAGTCACTGCCACTATGGAGAACTGATCTAGCAGGATTTTTCTTACATCCTTAAATGTGCCTCTAGAAGCATAAATCAGTGAGAGTCCCTTATAAAAAGAGATCCCATCACCAGTACATGACTCCACAAATAACATTGCTTAAGTTGGCTTTCCCCAACTTGGTGGTCACCCAATGCACTAGGATTGTGGGAGTTAAAGTCCAATATATTTACAGGACACCAGGCCAGGGAATGCTGGTTTAGATAATTCAAAGGAATGATCTTTCCCCTTACTTTTATTACCATAGCTGACTTTGTTTGCCTGAATCCCGCACAGCTGAATAATATTGATAAAATGGTACCATTGATGTCACTTGGATTTTTGCCAATTAGAATTCCTGTTTTCCAGACCAAAACTCTGTCATAGGAAAATAGAGCAGGGGTACGAAGATTCATTTATATGGAAGTCTCTGGAAGACTTTGGAGTGCTTCAGTTATCACCTCTGTTGGACACAAAGTTCCTTACTTCTACGTCCTGCCAAAAAGAATGCTTAGAAGGAAGGGAAGTTAGCTACTTGGAACTCCTGTTGTTAATACCCCAATGCCAAGGATTACTGAGGCCTTGTTCACACATGCTTCCATCTACACCTAGGTTTTCATTTGTGTACTATATAATGACCCACTTTGCCTTAAAATCCACATGTTCAGTGAAGGCATGAGGGGGTAATGAGAATGCCCCAGTCAGCCACATGTCTTCAAATTAGTATGACCATCGTACCATGCCTCAACACCTACACCTTCAGCGGGACACGTGAAAGACTCCCTGGAGTCATAAGATGTGAACAGAAAAGGACAGCTAGCCAATAAGACAGGGACAGGGAAATGTGACCTGCCAGATCCCAGTTGAGCTGCAAATCCCACCATTTCCACATAGACAATAGTGAGGAATGATATGACTTGCAGCCTAGCCACTTCTAGAGAGCTATCCCACCCCCCTGCCCCATTACTGCAATTAGGGCTCCTGCTTTTGTATGCATGTGTGTGTGTGTTACCACCTTAGGCCCATACGGGTCCCTTTCATGCATCCAGGAGAAGGTGCAGATGCCAGAGATGGGGCCAGAAGCGCATGCTGAAATTAGGGCTGTGGCTAGCTGGTCAGTCCTGCACCCTGCAACTTGTTCGTTGATTATGGAAATGATGTGTCTGGAGACAGGCTTGATGACATTAGAATGTGTGAACTGCCTCCACCATAGACAGTGAGAGGAAATTCAGATTGTCTGCCTGTAATCCTATGGCCATGATGGATGAATTCCCACACTTGTGTTGTCACTTTATGTTGCAGCAATCATGGGATGAATATGCATGTATGAACTACTCCTAATGAAATGAAGCAAACTGTAGACAGCCATAAACACTTTGGAAGGAGTTCAAAATGCAAGGATGCATTTCGGAATACTGACTGGGAAAAACAAATCCATGTAACTCCTTCTTAGGGGAGTATCATTAGTACTTTTCTCCTTTAGAGAGTCCCACTACATTCTTCCTTTAATTTTACCCTTGGACTTAACATATGGGCTGAAAACATCTGATGCAGCTAAGTCATGCTGGGTATGGAAGGAACTTGGGTGATAACTGAACTGGGTACCTTTATTCAAGTCATATACTCCCTTTAGGTACTGACAAAATGGGTCTTCAGATCAAGACATTGAGGCCTGGGAAATGAGGCTTATGGACACAGAGAGGGCAGAGGAGGAAGAGCTCATCTCAAGGCCACCATCTCCAGGTGTTCAGGTAGACCTGGGGAACTGACAGGATTTGGAAGTATGGGGAGGGGACATGGAAGAGGAGTCGAAGAGCCTGACCCATCCTTGACGCAGTGCTGGGAACTAGAGCACCCTGTGGGAGGCTTGGAAATAGTCTCTAGTTTGGCTTCAGTAAACTGCTCTGTGCATGCTCAGAGACTCTGACTCTTTGTTGGCAAACAGCTTGTTGGATGTATGTTGTAAATGTCCCTATCATAAGAGCACAGGGACCTGCCTTAGAATGAATTGGATCATTCATCTTTCTAGCCTTTTCAGCACTTCTGGCAGAGGCTTTGCAGGGTTTCAAACAGGAATATTTCCAGTTCCTCCTGGAGATGCCAGGAATTGAACCAGAGACTTGCTTGGCAAGCATTTACCCCTGAACTATGGCCCCTTCCCACAAGCCCATGTGCCACTGGGAGGTGGGGATGAAGTCGGTGGTAGGTGGAGTCATAGCTAAAGCAACTCTGTCATCACCTCATCTCTTTCCCTCTGGCACCCCGCTTCTTTCTCCAGTTTTTCTCCTCTCTGCCCTCACCCCTGCAGAGGGACAAGTCATCCTTGTCAGAGGCCTGAACTGGGAATTTGCAGTGGGCTTTTGAAGCAGTGAGGTGCAGGTTTCCTACCCTGCTACATGGGAGTGGTGGGCAAAGGGGGAATGGATGTTGCAGACCATACAGTTTGGCCCACCTTGAGGACTAGGTAGCAGCTTCCCTCCCACCCACCGGCCCTCCTGCCACCCCTCTGAGGGTGGAAGGAATTGTGGTTGAACCATTACAACACTGTACTGCATACCTACACAATATTTTGTCCCCTTTAACAAGGTAAACAAGCAGAAAAAATATTGCTTGGTTGTTTGTTGCTCTCATTTTCTTTGCAAGGAACGTGGGCGAGATGTAGGATGAATCAATTGTACTTTATTCCTTTTAAGATGAAGGGGGCAGCATCCTAATCTGCTTCCTTCTGGTGGATCATTGGTAGCAGAATGTAATGGAAGTACATCCTTTCCTGAGATAGCAGTGGGAAGTTCCGTAGCTTGACAAGGAAAATAAATATTCTTTCCACCCACCAGGGAACTCATCAATGTTTGTAGAGGGCAAGGCATTATGTTGTTGGGGGTGAGGGGAAATGCCCATTGAGGAAGTTTTCAGTAGAGAGATGGTCAAAGTTTATACCAGAATCTCCCAAACTGCTGCCCTCAGCCATGATGGGGATCATGGGAGTTCTAATTCAACACATCCAGTGGCCACCCATTTGGGGAAGGCTGATTTATGATTTAAGGATGTGTAGAGGAAACTGACCAGTTGTGTCTTCTCAGATGGAGACAGGAATCCCAACGGAGCTCAATCTGATTGTTACTGGGGAAAAAAAATTCAGTGCCTAGATTTAGACAACACAATAAGCTACACTCAACAGTTGAGTGTGGGTTGGTATCGAACCATGGGCTTTTGGTCAATCATGGGTTGTCATTCTGTCTGATCCAAATATGGGGGGGTGCCACCTGTCCCTCCAAGCCATGGCTTGTTGACAATGAACAGCCCATGCAAGAGAACCCATGGTTTGTTTTTGGGTACTGAACTATGGGCTGTTCATTATGGGTCAGATAATACGAGAACACATGTTTCAATAACAACCCACAGTTCAGTGACAACCCATGCTCAAGCACTGAGTCCAGGTTATTGTGTTGTCCTGAACCCGGTTGATGTTGCATACCAGGGTTTCCTTCCTTTACACATTCAAGGCAACAGAGCATTTCTTTGCAACAAGCTCTTTATTCACCAAAGGAAACATATTATTATTTATTTCATCTCATTACTTTGTTGTAAACTGCCCAGAGTGTTTCGGGTACAGGCAGTATATGTAATAAAATGAAAATAATAACAACAACAACAATCACTATAGAAGGTCTCTCTGAATATGCATAGAGCAGTTTGTGGAACCCAGTCTAAACAACTACTTGCACAAACCCTCCTGAGGAGTATGTGTGAGCCTGATCCCTTCTGAAGGGCCCGTTTTGAAGTGAGCCCAACTCTATTCAATACACCTGCCCTCTAGTTGGCCCTCCTCTCCTGTGATGTGTTATGGTGGGTTATCTGACTCGGAGTGCTCCTCTCCCACACCCCTGCTGATACCTGTGCCTGCTGGCTCTTCTCAGAGCCTGCCTGAGTGCTGAGGGAGCATGGCCTGGCTCTGCTTCTCTCATCTTGGAGTCCAGAGCCCCACATTAGCAAGCCCCCTCTGCCACCTCCCCTTCATTCTCTCACTTGGACTCTACATCAGCATGATCAGCACACCCAGAACAACAGCCACCCTCATTCCCACAGTTAATGACTTTGCCCGGTGCAAGCTAAGACAAGAGGTGGTGGTTGCTAGATGGATTTTGAAAAGACTGGACCATTTAATGGAGGATGAGGCTGTCAACAATTGTGTAATGGAGGGGAAACCCAAAGGAATGCAGCAGTAGGACCCCTTTCTCTCTTAGAACAAGGGAATTGACTTCATCTGCAAGACCACTAGGAATAGTGCTGGACTTCCCTTTCTTTGGCAAGTGATTGAGGTTATAACAAGGATTCCATATCTTAAAATTGCTTGTGATGGAGAGTCATTGAAGAAATCAGAGAATGAGGAAAATTATTAAGCAGCCTCGGGATCCTGCTTTCCTTCGCTTTGATGGAATTCCTACTTCACACGGGCAGTTTAAATGGTAACAGTTCTTTGCAAGATTAATTGCCAGGGTGTATTTCAGCTGCCAAAAGATATTTCACTGAAGTGCATTTTACAAGTTTAATTTATGCAGTCAAAGCAAGTAGCACTGATCTCCACTAAGTTTACTCCTAGGTAGCTACACCAAGGATTGTGGTCATGCCCACTGAGCTTAACTATGTGATTGCATTAGGTGTGTGCTTATTTTGGACCTCTTTAGGAAAGAGTTTTAAACCATTATTTATTCCTTTATTTATATTTAAATAATATAAAAGCAGGATATCTAATTATCTATCCATTTCCTGAGAACATAACTATGATTCTCATTGGGGATCTGGATATGGGGACTTTCATCATGAGTTCCTGTGCTACTACAACTTCTCCAAATGGCTATTAATTTTGATAACTCTATGGAACCTTTTTGTACAAAGGAAATAAATCTGTGAGCAGCAGATGCTGAAGATAAACAACTGACCCAGCTGGAACACAAGAAAAGCCAATCTGGATCAGACCCACAGTTCATCTGGTCCATCACTCTGTACACACAATGGCAAACCACAGGATCCCTCAAGCAGAATGGGTGCAAGACCTCCCCCTGCCCAGCTCCTCAGCAACTGGGGTATGCAGGTTGGCCACCTCTGGTGAAGGAGGTAGCCCATGGCCAGCAAGGCTAGTAGCCACTGACAGCCTCCTCCCTCACAAATCTCTCCAATCCCATGTTTAAGCCATCCAGATTGGTGGCCATCACCACTTCCAGAGGCAGAGAATTCCATAGTTTATGGGAATAGGTGGGGCAGGTGTTGATGCACCTGGTAAATCAGGCACCATGCAGAGCTGAATAGACAAATACAAGACTACATCAGAGTTACTACAGAGCAGGTGTCCTACAGGCCTATATTTTGGGAGTGGGGAGGGGGTAAACCTTTTGGTTGCTGCCACTGTAAATCCCTCAGGGGTGTACAATGCTTGCTAGTCTATTGTAAATAATACAGCAATCTACCAGCAGATCTCACCCTACCTTCTGCTGATCTCTTTCTGATAGCATTGCTGTTCCATGGACAAACCCAAGGTGCAGAGAAGTGCCTGGTTCAGTGCCTGGTAAGTTCTTTGAACTCTCTTTCTGCACTATGAAAACATGTGCTAAGATGGGGCTGGAGGCCTTCCCGCTGTTGTCTTTCTACTGTAGAATTATTAGGGAATAGCACCTTTATGATGGACAGTATGTAGTGAAAAGAGGGTTTTTATAAAGCAGATGCCCCTCAATTAACTGTAAGTCTCAGTGGCTCAGTGTACATTAGACTACCCATTTTGAGAGGTGGGGGGCATTTTCCTTCCCCAATACAACATTAGCCTTGGTTTAGCAGCCTTTTACTCCAAAAGCTAAAGGTGAAACTCATTCATATGGGAGAAGGAGAAGGGCTACAGTTAGAGACAGCAATGTGGAACTTAAAGTTTTCCCCTGTTTTTGGTGAAACTAGGCTAGGGTGAAAGGAAGATGTCATCCCTTCTCAATGTACATGAGTGGAACTATCTCCTTTAATGGAGCCCACTAAGAGCTGAATGGGAACCTATATGAATAAGCCCCCCCGCAAATGCATAATCCACCCTCTCTCTGTTTCTTCGAGTGATTTTAGACTATGACGGAATCCTGGAGTGAAGGAGTGTGCCCAAGAGTGTGACCTTCCATGTACATGCACGTGTGTGTGCATTGCGTGCATGTAACTGTTGGAGCAATGTAGTGTGTGATAGAATGGTAGAGTTTTAAGAGTGTGATCAAGAGAAATAAGGGCAGGAACTTGCACATCTGCTTATGCCTGGAAGAAATTTTCCCTTGCTTCCTAACCATGACCAAGAGAATATCCAGGTGTCACTATGCATAAAAAGAAACTGCCTAGAGAAATAGGCCTAATAAATATAAGGTGGTAAGTGGAAAGGCAACTTTTCCTCTGGTAAGACTTATTTTGTAGTCATTAAGAGTTAGCTGTAAAGAGATGTGGATGGGATGGGTTGGGAAAAGATGGGAGTACTCAGCCTACATGTGCCAGGTTGCTTTCCCCACCCCCAGGAAAGAGAGAAGAGATGCAGCTGTTAGTACAGTTAGCTAAAGCCAGGGAGGTAGGTAGGCCGTACCAATATCACAGAGGTCCCCTCCGTAGCTGGGAAGGCATAAGCATGTGAAAATGTGGATGCCATCGACGCAGGTAGCTCCATTCAGACAGGGGCTGGTGTGGCACTCATCAATGTCTGCAAGAAATCAAGGGCTTCCATTAGGACTTGGGCTGGGCAGGGAGTCCATCAACAGGAGAACAAGTGTCCTTGTTTATTGGGGAAAGAAAGAATGCAGGATTTGGAGGTACAAGCAGGAGAGGTTAGGAAGGTGGTGCCTATTTTAACTTTAGAATGTTTCCTACTGCTGTTGGAAGAAGGAGAAAAAGAATGGAAGATGCAAAAGAAGAGGGTCCCACTTGAGTCACCAGCAGGCATGACTAGGTGTAGAGGCAAGTTAGGCAACGACCTAAGGTGACTACTAGTCCAGGCACTTTTCCTACACAGGGGCATGGAAACTTGTTCTGCCAAAGGGCCAAATTTCATTGTGTTGAAGTTCAAGGAAGGGTACATTCCAGTGGTGGATGAGCTCAAAGGCAAAAGGACTGGGCCAAAAATATAATACCCCAAATGCCAGCATGTTGAGCTGAAAGCTCTTACTAAACCTTAGGAGAGACCACCAAGTATTTGGTAGGTAAGGTAAAGGAGCACAGCCAGGGAAGGAGGTGTGGTCATTATAGGGTCCCTGAAAGTTACATTGGGATCAGGTTGATCAGATTTGGCCCCTACACCCAGGCCAGAGAGAATGACAACTTGGCTTATTGGAAGAGACATTCAGAGGCATCAGAGTGATTGATTCGAGAGTCTTATGTTTGCTATCGACTGCCCAAGGCACAGACACCCTTGTAAAGGGGAGAAGATGAAGGCACTTGCCAGAAATTACTTGACAAGGGGAGCTTAAAGGGGCAGGGAGCCATTGGAGAACAGCCAAAGCAGGAAGCCCAACACATTGAGAAAGTTGTTAAGTTTGTTCTCAGTGAGCTCTTGGGAAGAACAGTGCCTCTGTGCTTTCTGCACACATACAAAGAAACAAGCTAGATACTGCTGCATCACAAACACTGAAAGCTCAGAGCAGGGCCTGAGTATCATTTGTGGGTACAGGAGGACTGGCCCAAGACATTCTTCCACCTGAGATGAAGGACAAGATGCTGCATGAGTAAAAACTGAATGGATTGGCAGAAATTTGTCTTCAACACTGATCCTGAAAGGCAGTAAGCTAATTTAGGAGGCACAAAGGAAGCTCTGTGGCACGTGGGTCTATCCTTCAGCATCTCAAACAGCCTTGTGGTATTTGCTACTTCACTCTGTGTTACAGCTTTGAGAAGAAATTAATCTTAAAAATGAAAGTGAGGAAAATAGTACTCCATAATCTCTTGACTGCTGACATGTTGCGATTATGCTGCTCATCATACAATGGGGCACAAGGTAGGAATTGTGGGGGGCAAGATTAAATTCACTTGGAGTGCAATCCTAGGCATGTTTAGACAGAAAGAGGCCTAGCCAAGGAATGCTGGGAATTGTAGGACTTCTTTCTCTGTGAATTGGCTCTACTGAATGTATTTGTTGCGAAAAATATAAATATGAAACATAAGGAGCTAAACATAAAGAGCTATTATTGTACTGCCATCCTGAGACCTCAGTAAAGGACAGGATAGAAATGCTTTTCATAGATAGGTAAATAAATAAACAAACAAATACAGGATTGAGTTGTTAAAGCAGCAAAATAAAATTAGGATGCCCCCAGGTTCCCCTGCAGCCAATCAGCAGCATGAAATATGTCAAGGCAATTCAGGTTCCTCATAAATGAAAAAGGTGATTGGTTTTTGACATTATGACTTGTCAAATCAACTCTATGCTTGATGATTGAGTCATAAAGGAGGCCATAGCACTGAATTCACAACAGCTGAGCAGGGCTATCATGGATAGGACATGAATGAAGGTTTTCATTCAGAGGGTCACCATAAATTGGAAATGCCTTGATGGCACGTAAGAAAAACTACCTGCCTTTGGGAAGAATTTCCATCATAAAATTGAATGTACTATCGAAATTGAGCTTTCTGTTTCAGATGATGCCAATTGCTATACCAGGAAAAACTCTCCAAGACTGGCAATGACAACCAAATACCTTTATTCGGAATGGCAAAAAACCAAGGATTAGATTAAAAATTCTTCAAGATGAAAAGGTGAGAAGAGACCTTGCAGTACCTAATTTAAAGCTATTCTGCTATGCAGCTGTCCTAGTTAGTATTGCAGATTGGATTATGCTAATTATAGGCAAGTGAAGTTAGAAATAGCAGACCTTGAAGATGAAATGCACAGTCTGTTATGGGTTAAAGAGTTGGTTAAAAAGGCCCTGATACCAAATAATAACCATAAATTAAGAGACAGCCTAATAAAAATTTGGTATTCCATGGGAACAAGTAGCCTTCCAATCTTTCCTCTGATGTTCCTGGTCAAAGCATATGGAAAACAATTAAGGGAAAATAATTATTTTATAACTTATGGAGATATGATTGATCAACAAGGATGAGTCAAATCTTGGCAACAACTAAAAGATGAAGGGAAAAATAGACAGTGGTCCACTTATCACCAACTGATTTCAAGATTGAAAGGGGAAATACAATGAGGCAAAGGAATGGACAGATTTTGACAAGTTGATTATACAACAGAACAATCCTTTGTGAGGAAGACATGACAAATAGTTGCTACAGCTACCAACAAGACAAGAAATGTATGACAATTTGGAAACAAACTCTTGAAGAAGAAATATCACCTTGTCAATGAGAAAAATTATCTGCCAAATTTAATAATCCAGGTCTGTGGCTTTCTTGCTCTTCCAGGCAGCTAATGATAAGGATGGCTGTGAAGGCAGCAGATGCCATCCTGCCACTGAAGGTGGGTTTCAGCCCTCTAAACTGCCTGCTTCAGAACCACTACCAAAAAGGGGGAGAGTAGAGTAGGAATATAATTAAGAATAGTACACAGACAGTCAAGATCTTTGCCCTTCAGTTTCCTTGTTCAAGTCCTGTTTTCCTTGATGCTAAGCCAGATAAATGCTGCTGAACCCAAAGGTCCTTGGCTAAATGCCACTTCTTGGCCCATAACATGGGGATCAGCAGGCTGAAGATTCCTGGGCAAATACTGTTCCTTGAGATCTGTCCTCTTGCTGGCAACTCAGGGGCAAGAGAATTGTGTGAGAGGACTGGCAGCTTTACCAATGCAACTCAGTGTCCTTGGAGAAATGGCCAGATCATTTCTTCCCTTAGCTTCAATGGCCATCTTGCTTTCGTGTACTTGGTACCATGTACCTAAATTGGCACATATACATATTAGTGCATGAAAAATCTATGCATATGCTCCCTTCATTGGCAATAGATTTCTTTCTTCCTTCCTTTGCATGCAACTGGACATCCTATATATCTTTGAAAGTGCAAAGAGATCTTGGAATGGATAAGGAATGGATCTAACTGCTTTTAAAAACAGAAGAAAAAAACCTACAGGAATGCCTTTTCTAGCTCAAGAAACCATAGACTGACTTCCCAGAGTGAAGAAATTATTTTCATTGTATATGTAGAATATTCAAGGTGGAAGAGAGAACAAAGGAGGGAGAGAGAGAGAGAGGGAGAGGGAGAGGGAGAGGGGGGAGAGAGAGAGCGAGAGAGCGAGAGATAGCACTTCTTCTTCATCCATCTGTGAATGGATGCAGTGTCTTCATTATTCAGGCTCCACAGGAGTGAAAAAACTTAGAAATGTTGATCAGAAAATGCTGATAATCTAGTAATTCTCTTGGCAGTACAGCTAAGGAATTAGGACATTGGGAATGGAAGCTCAAAGAATGTGACCTAGGCGGAGAAATGTTTTGCAGAATAAGCACTTTATTTGCTCAGAACATGTTTTCAAATATTCATTAATTCATAGAGAACTGGTGTTCCTCCACATAATGCAATAATTTGAGAGCAGCCCAGCTAGACGAGACAGAAGAGCTGTCTAGTTCATCACAGTGGCCAACCAGATACTCCAGTGGGAACCCCACTAGCAGGGGCATGAGTCCATGAGCAGAACATCAGTCCCCCACTCTTGTTCCCCTGCTGCTTAAAGCTCTCCACTCCCGAGCTGGAGTGAGCAGGGAGCCTGGGAGTGGGTAGGCAGGGTCAGAATGTATATATGGGGCTCAACTCCATTGCAACAGGAGAGCAGATTCATCCAATGAGCTGTCCAAGGTTCTGAAAAATGCTATACTTGGCCACCATTGTTCATGGACTTAGATTGGTTCTCCCCATGTTGGTGCCTTTGAGATGCTATGCAATGCAGCTCTTACCAGCCCCAGCCACCATGGACAATGGTCAGGAGCACTGGGAAGCATAGTCCAGAACATTCTGGAGGGCACCAAATTGAGGAAGGCTGCATTTGGGGTGTACCATGCCTTTGGCTGGACATGTTCTGGGAATCTGAATCAGATACTGACTTTTGCCAATCCTGCCAGAACACTTGCATGCAAATAACTTCTTGAAAAAGCGAAACCCTCTACCACTTCTTTTGTTGCTGCCACAAGCAATTTGATTGTTCCTCCTCTAACACTGGGCACTGCTACCCAAGACCACCCTGAGTGGTCTTGGATGCTCTCTCTCAAGGCATCCTGCATTGCTTGCTGCTTCTGCCTTCTCCCTGATGGCATTCTCCTGAAACTAATTCAGAGTTAAGGGCAGCAACAGGAGGCAAAGCTTTCTGGGGAGAAAGGAATGGAATGGAAAGTAAAGGGATAACTTTGAAAAAAATTACATGACATTATATATGTCAGCTCAGAAGTAAGCTCCACGGAGTTCAGTGGGAGTTACTGCCAGGAAGCTGTACTTGCATTGTGGTGTTAAACGTTAGGTAGTGTGGAAATGGTTGTCTCACAAATGTCAGCTGCTAAGATAGATTTGACCTGTTCATAATCCATTTTAAGACAATTATATTTTTCTAGTAAATCTTTCTCAGGAATGGATATCCTCCTGTTTCTTCAGTCAGTGAAAACTGGCCATTTCAGCATGCATGAGCACAGCACAAAGGCACCAGGGGCCATGGGGAGGTTGCGTTCCCCATTCTTCAGGGAGGACACTGCAGCAAGGGGAGGACCAGTTTGGCCACATCCCTTA